TAACATAAGTAATTCTTCCTAATATTTTTTAAACTTTAATGCCACGGAATATATAACCGCATGAAAATCGGGATCATTTTGAAATCTCTTAAAATCCCTAGCAATTATATAAAAACGTTGCAGAACCATACAACTAGTAGGATAATAAATAGCAGACAATATATTTGTAGACTCATAAAAACTTGCCAACAAAATTTTAATTTTAAAAACTATATTCCAATCAGATTCATTCAAGATAGTATCGTCTTCGTCTCTAACATGCCTTGTTATAAAATTCAGTAATAAACGCTTCAAAACTTTCACATGATTTTTTAATAATAAGTAAGTTGAGTTCAAGACATGGGCGGTGTTGGTAATATTGTTGGTGATGATAATATTGGGGGTCATGGTGATGATAGAGATGGTTGTGATAATTCCTCTCAAGCACGACATGGAGCTCCTACTCCACAAATAGCTCCAACCTCCGGCCAATATATTTCCGAAGATCAATTCCACAATCTAGAAGGCCGGATTGACTCTCTTTCCACTAACATCAATATGCTTGATCAACGAATGGAACAAATGAATTTTTCGATTAATCTTCAAATGGAGCAAACTGAATTTCTCACTTAATCAACAAATGGAGCAAATGAGGTTATCTCAAGAGGCTTTCTTTACACATATGTATTCCGTTTATCCTCGAGGGCCTCCTCCACCGGCGGAAGATCAAAACTTTATCTCTAACGTTCTATTTTTAGTTAACTCATGTTTTTATGTCGTGACCTATAATTACTTTCGCTTGTTTTGTACATATGCCTTGTGTAAAGGGGAATTTATCTTTGTTCCCATGCTTTTTGATGATGACAAAAGGGGGAAAAGGAATGATCATGTGATTATGATGTAACTTGATTTGATTATGAACTTGTTATGTCTACTTGGCTATGAATTATGATTTGTGAGTTCAATACATTGTAATGACTTCTAAATGTGATTTAGTATATCATTGAACTTGTTATTTCTACTTGGCTATGAATTATGATTTGTGAGTTCAATACATTGTAATGACTTCTAAATGTGATTTAGTATATCATTGAATTGTGAAAATGAATGTCTTTAGAACATCATGATATATATATGATACAAATTTGATTCTCATTAATGTGTAAAAAAATAGGGGGAATATCTTGTATATATCTATAAATCACATATTGTTTGTCATAATCAAAAAGGGGGAAATTTTTTACCTATGATTTAATATAACTCCACTTCTTTTGATTATAACAAAAAATACACTTTT